GAGAGTCCCTTTTCTCTGAAAACCACCATCCTCCTGGGGGCAGCCACAGATTTGTTGCCCATCTGCTGTCTGGAGGCATAAAATTAGCACAGATCTGAACCTTACTCTCAAGTTCTTAACAGTCTAACAAAAGTGGAATAATAACTGTTTATCAATAAAAGAAGAAAAGACTTCATCTGTGAATAAAGATACATCACAGATAAAATGTGAGATACTTAAAATGACCCCTAAAAAGATAGTTTAAAATGTGGGTCATGCTAGTTCCCTGATGTTCTCTTAAGGACAGTTCGGAAGAAAAGATTGGGAAGAAAAAAACTAGTGTGCCCATATTTAGCATGCACTTTTAAAACTTCAAGCACATTGAAGTTGATCGCAAAGATAAAATGACGTGACCCTGGCATGTTTAATAGGAAGAATAGATTGTATATCTATGCACCTATTTTTCTACCAGTTTCTGAAGCAATCTGCCCTTTGTATCTTGCATGACCTAAATAATCAGTTTCTGGCATTTATTAGCTAGCAAGACATTTACTGAATCTCAGTTAACAAGAAAGGTAGAAAAGAAGACCTCATCTTTTCTCCCAATAGAGATTTCATAGGCTTTTTGCAGCTCCTTCAAGCTGTTGATCTGGTTGCACAGTTGTTTTAAATGTGCTGCATGTTTTTCTTTCTCTTTTTTCATTTCCATGCGGTGCCAATCAATAAAATTAAGTCTCCATTTAGTTAGTTCAGATATGATGTTTGTCTGAAAAATAAATACACTGGCAATTAAGAAGTTTGTTCCTTAATACTGTTCACACTGAAATTAAAAAAAAAAAAAACAGAACAAGCAATCAACATAAGACCTATTAAAAATAAATCACTAATGAAAACATTTGCAAGTTTGACAGTCACAGCTCTTCTTAATTCACATTCACCATACTAAGGATATGAATTTTTTCCTATTTTAAGTTACTTTGCATGAAATCTTGTCATTTAAAAAAATTTCATGTCTCATTCATTAATAAACAGGCCCTTTGTTTATTCAAGGACTTAAATGTCCATATTAAGATGGATCAGGAAAAAAGA